GTGCCTTGTATTTTATTCGTCCGGCGTCTCATTATTAATACTAATCCCCCCCCCCCCCCCCCATCTCATCACTGGAAGCTTTCAGTTCATCCCGAGATTCTGTAGTGCCCCAAGTATTGGCCTGGCCGGCTTTGACGAAATGACAATGCCATTAAATGACGTCACCAATTTTCGTGATCTATGACGTCCCTGTGACGCCACATGTCGACCTCATCGCGTGATTGATATTTTGCCTCACTCGTGTCGCCGAAGCTGACGCCGACGGTCGACTTTCGCGTTTGGTGAGCCACCTCTGGCTTGCATCCACCTCTGGCTTGCATCCACCTCTGGCTTGCATCCACCTCTGGCTTGCAACAAGTTCCCTGACGCCGAAAGCTCGACGGGACTCAAAACAACTGTAAAAAGGTGAGGCATAAAGGGTGTTGCTTCTGTCATAGTTTCCCACAATATTTACCAGAGGGAACTCTGGCGCTGCGATCGTTTAGCCACCACAGGAATGAGTAGCGTGTGAGTTTGCCTAATAATCATGCTCGCGGTTTCAAACGCACTTGTGGCTTCGCTTATTGCCGCGTTTTCTTTGTGTTTCGAATAAAAGAATGGCCGCTGAGGACATTTCGAACCTATCCGAACTGGTGAGCCTAACACGTTACGGTAGTGATCTGAAGCGGCAGAGTATTCGCTGAAATTAGTCTTGCTACAAAGTAGCTCCAGGCCTTGTGAGCCCAAAAGGAGCCGAAAAAGTGGATTTTAAACAAATACGTCTACTACCGATCATTCACATGTTGGTTCAAGCGTCATGCGTTGCATATCCCATAGACACTAGCGCCAGAGTTTCCCTTAGTGAGCCTAAGGGCAACTCAATGGATTCTTCAGATTTTGTCAGCACCTGGATCTCACCAGTCAATGGGCGAGATCGAAACACGTAAAAGATGACAAAGCGCTTGTGTGACTTTGTACATAATGTTTGTGCGACTTTCTTCGCAGTGCTAATCGTGGCTTCCTTGTGCTTGCTTACACATTCTTCCTGCATTATATACAAGTTGAAAAATGCAACCAGTTGAATTCCAGTTTCATGCATCTCTTGTCCATTGCGCAGTCGGGAATAGAGAACGCGCTACAACACACAGCACCTATTTGTCGTAGATTGAAGCACGTAAAAGATGGCGAAGTGTTTGCGTGGTTTTGTACACAGTGCTAATCGTAGCTTCCTTGTGCTTGCTTACTACACATTCTTCCAGCATTACTAGTTCAGAAACGCAACCAGTTGAATTCCGGTTTTATGCATCTCTTGTTCATTGTGCAGTCGGGAATAGAGAACGCGCTACAACCCACAGGACCTATTTGTCGTAGATTGAAGGACGTAAAAGATGGCGAAGTGTTTGTGCGGTTTTGTACACAGTGCTAATCGTAGCTTTCTTGTGCTTGCATACTACATATTCTTCCAGCATTACAAGTTCAGAAATACAACCAGTTGAATTCCGGTTTCATGCATCTCTTGTCCATTGCGCAGTCGGGAATAGAGAACGCGCTACAACACACAGCACCTATATGTACGGTTACTGCCCACACATTTGTCTGAACACCAAAGACTACGTACGTGATCTCTCAGTTCAAAAGAAAGAAGAAAAGAACGCATGAAGGCCCACCGCCATTTACGTCATTCAATCTGTAGCAGTCGAGAAATGTTAACTGTTTGTAAGGAGAACCGGTCGCATTTACAAGTTGGTGATACGTGTCCGTATTGTACCAGTCCAGTAATGGAAGCAGATGCATGCCACCTTATATGGATATGTCAAAAGTTTCAGCCGGAACACTCCCATCACCCCCTTCAAGCCGGCCTTCACTACAGCGACACAACCAGTTACAACCACTGGATACATGACAACACTTTCCACAAGGCTTCCTTTCCACAAAACTTCCTCACTTCATGCACAACACTGGCCCACCAACGCACATTTAATACCCATACACGCAAAAGAAAATATGTCTTAAAAGCAAGTCTATGTCGCAATAGAAAATAAACAAAACTGGTTGTTAGATACCGGAATCCCACTTTACAGCTAATATGACGTAGTGATCTAGTATACGAGCTACGAAGTTTTAACTATGCACTGTCTGAAAAAAATTGACACACAACCGGACAAAAGCTAATCGGAGAAAGCGCCTGTGCTTTGTCCCGCTAACTGCTGTCTACCATCAGAGCGAGGACGCCACCACCGTCGCCATGACGACGACGACGATGACGATCATCTATACCCACCTTCGTGGCGCCTGCAATTAGCCCCAGTCATCGCCTTAAAGCTCAAGCTACACGAACGTTGGATGGCAACATAATTACAATGATTACCGAAGTCTCGAAATCAATCGCTGTTCATGCTATTCGAAGCAATGTCTATACACCCACGACATGCTCTTGAGAAGCGCAAACATCTGGAGCGAAGTGGTGCAATTTCACCACGCTCCTTCACAAGGTCGCCCGAGGAAGGTCGAAAATACAGCGACAGAACGTTGTTATGGACCTGCCTTTAGCCAGACCCGAGCTTGTCGTGACTGCAGCAATAGATAGACGGGCATGTATGGCCATACCAACGGAGCCAACCGAGCGATGTTTCAACTATACCGCGTTGCCATTAACTGGCCTCCATTGTCTCAGTAGCCGCGCGAGACACCCGGCAACACGGCGCTGGTCTTTTGTCCGAGGGATGTCGTTCGTCGTAGGAGCGAGAGCGGCTCGTGTGAGATGGTGTTTCTTGTGCGCTGGCCCGCAAAACACGCGCGGCTTTTGTGTCGTAGGAGCTAGGCTGAAAACGTGGTGACCACTCTTTTAAACAGAGAGCCAGTCTTCCTCGTCACTTTCGTCGAGCGCTCTCGTTGTTTGCAGAGACGGCAGTGTGAGCAAAGCTTTGTCTGTGTTTTTTTTTTCTCTCGGAACACGGTGCGACTCGTTATCCGCGTTTTAGTAGCGTTAGTGGCCTCTACAAGAGAGCACAGGGTTGGGGACGGACGGTAATTAATTTCTCGCACGCCCGCGTCTCACACGACGCTTCGCCGTTACAACCCTATAGCTGTTTGTGGCAGCCCGTTTTTCCGAGAACATACGCGCGCATGCGTGTATTATCCACCCACCCGTGAACAGATTGCCCGCGTTAGCGGTTCGGCGCGGTGGACGCCGATGGTATATGCTATGTACTATAGCCGCATCAACTACAAGGCGAGAACGAAGCGTCCTCCACAACATGTACGCATCGGTGAACACCGCGTAAGGTTCCCCCCAAAATGGAGTCGCCGCTGAGCGAGGCTTTATGTGAGCTTGGTGCGAGGTTTACCCATACGCCTTGGGGGAATGACGAAGCTCTTGTATTGTATTGCAAGAAGAAAGCTTCAGTGGGGGCCATAGAGAAAGAGGCTTCAAGTTTCGTCAGAGATGACGGGAGGGTATAGCGCCTGCCGCGTAAGCAAACGAGGAGCAGACATGGCGTCGTGATGCAAGTCCGATGACGAATGATGCGGGAGAGCTCGCAGCTCGCTCCTTAAACATATGCAGGAGCTGTTTGAAGTGGGGCGGGGCAGAACGGCACGAGTTGACGTTTGTGAGCCCCCCGTGTCGCCCTTTGCACTACACTGAAATCAACCTGTGCCAAGATTTATATAGACTACTCCCCGACTACTGTGTTTTATGGGTGAGCGTGTGTGTGTCAATGTATACCGCCGTGCGATTTGTGAACGGCGAATGGGCGGTGAGGTCCTGGCCCAGTGTATTCACTCGCGAACGCGCATGGTTTAGTAGTCGAATAATATGTAAGCATAGTTGACGTCAAACGTTTCCTTTCGTTTATTAGGCGTTAAATGATATTGGGCGAGCAATTTGAGATGTTGTGATAGTGCTGGCTCACTAGTGAGAAAAAGTCGTAAAATTTAGCCGTACGCTGGCTAAAGCATGGCTAGTGTCGGCCAACGTAGCCGTAGCTGTAGGAATTATTTTAACGAAAGCGAGAACAGAAATGCGTGATGTTTTTTTGGTACGTATCAATTATCTCAAACGTTGCCGTCCCATACCAAAACTGGAATTCTCCCAGGGGTTTTTGGAGTACGTCTTCATTATTAGAACTATCAAAACGACAAAAAGCCAGCTTTCAAGGAGATGTGATCCTGGCCCTGCGCAAGTCGCCTCCTGCAATACGAAAGATGTACCACGTGTCTCCGCCCGTGAACATCTCCCACTGATGAACTTACGCACACTGGCAATTGGAGCTATTAGCTCACTCCAACCCCTCCCAGTGGCTTCCATTGTATGAACGCCTATGATAGGAGGAACCGTTTCCCTGGCTCTCTTTGCTGAACCTGCACCTAGTATTTTAAGCACCTAATACAACTAGTCAGCCGGTTTTCTGAATAGGGGTTCTTGAAAAGATGTACGGACCGATGGAAACCAAGGAAGCACTATCGGCTGATTGTAGAGTGCCCAGTCAGCGCTCAGTTTCAAGTCACGCAACGACGTAGCAGGTGAGGTAAAAAGAGCAGGTGCTTTATTCGACAGCTTTGCAGGTGAGAGTTGTCTTCTATACTCAAATTGACGGCAAAAATAATCGCAACAAATGGGAGACACACCGATGAAATATGTACGCACTCTGTCTTTGAGTTATACAGTCGCCAGAGAACCGGAGCTCTTTCAACGAAACGGCTCGAAGAAGAGCCTTCGGGATACCGCCAAGGCACTCAGGGAAACATTGAAAGTGTACTGACATCACGCGTGCTGGTAAATAAGGAGAAATTGCCGTCAGCTTTTGTGAGCACGCTTCGCCAATGTCGCCACATATTATCGCCCGTGCTCGCATCAAATGTATGTCGGCGTCAGCACCTTGCGTCGTGACGTTGGCGTCTGTGGCGCCGCGCATGAAAAGAATCATCTGAGCTCCACCCTTAGTCCCGAACATCTGACAGCCGAAGCCTCTAACCAGACGCGTGTGCGGTTGCCCTCCGGTTGCCGAGGACAACTACGACTAAGCGCCGGCAATCACGGAGCCCACGGCTGTGCTGAGAGGGTTCGCTTCGCCACAGACTGCTCTGTAGTCGTCGCTCGTGACGTCCCACAGCATGATGCCACCCAGCGTGTAGTTGCGCACTAAGGCTGCCTTTTGGCGCACGCTGTCCACACTCTCGTAGCTCACGGCTTCGTCCTCTTTCAGGGCCACCGGATTGCCCAGTTCGGTCGCGTTAGAGTTTGTCCATGTGTTGTCCTGCGAGTTAAGGGGAAGAAGGCTGCGTCGTCACTCTCAGTGAAGGATATACATCGAGATGACAAAATGGAGGGTTCCGGCACGTTGCGACGTCAGCATAAGGAGGAACGAAGTAAACGAAGGCTGTGTCCTACATATTACCTTCTTTCAGTGAACCTCTGTTCAAAGACCAGCTTGTGTGTTATGCATTTCTCGTGTAGTACTTGCAGGAATCCTTCACTTTGTCATCTCACCATGCACCAAGTGGCCCAGAAAATCGCACTGCTATATGGGGATAATACGCTGATTGCGATCACTCCATCCTCTTTCGCCTCACCTTGAGCACGCACCATGATAGTAGGTTTCAGTGCAAAAAATAAATAAATAAATCAGGGACAAAAGAATCACCACACAAAAATAGTGATACGTGTGGGCGTTTCTTTGTTACTTCTTCTCGCGCTAAAAACTACTAAGATGCTGAACTAACTCGCCCGACAAGCCACTCTTCTAGAACAATCATCTCACGAATCAATCAATCAACCAATCAATCAATCAATCAATCAATTAATCAATCAATCATTATTTCAGTCTCACCATGAATACAGTGTGTCGCTCCATATCATGCAAATGTCATGTATTGGAAAATAAGTCACTCAATGAATGAGTGGATGAATGAACAAACGAACTTTTACATCAACAAGGATTATGCCGTTTAGGGGACACAACCTCTCAAGTTGTCTGATATTTTTTTCTTTTATCTACCAATTAAATGAGATTGAGTTGATTAATTCATCAGTCTTCTTTTTTTTTTTTTGCTTCCCCTTAGATAAGGTCGCAAACTAAGCAGCATGCAGGCGTGCTCCCATATTACTCAGTCAGTGAATTAGTAATTATTAACCACTAGATTTCCTTCAGCTCACCTTGAATAGAGCGCACACCTCGAAGTACGCCAGGAGTCCAGGCGTGCCAGTCAGCGGTCCTTCGTGTCCGGGCAGCGTCTTGTTTGCCTCTACGCGCAGCGTAGCCGTGTCCATCTCGAGAGAGACGAGCAGCTGCCGAGGAGGCAGCCCAGACAGGATCGCCTGGCGAACCGCCATCAGCGACAGGCCGGCTTGCGGAGGGACGTCGGCGGTGGCGGACGAGTCCGGAAGTCCCTCCAACACCTGGCTGAAGAGAGTCGCGTGCTCCTTCCGGTTCCGGATGACGAGGAAGTCGACGAACGGCTTCAGCCGCTGGCCGAACGCTTTTTGGTGCGTCAGTTCGGAATTCTCCCCCATCACAGCCACGAGGATCAGATTGGCCTGATCATAATCAGGAACATTCGAAGTGAACTGTGGCACAATGTATCTACAACAGCACAATCTGCCCTGCACATGCGAGTGTTCAGTCGATAAGCGGATAAGCAGCCGAGTCAATAAGCGTTGTGGGAGGAACACAGCGGCGAACTAAGCGAGCGTAAGTGCGTGGTCAAAAGTCCGGTGCAGTTTTTGCCTACCTGATTGTTACACCAAACAAAGAGTTTCTCAAACAATGACTAGAGGGCTCTGGCGCTACGGTCGTTCAGCGACGACGGGAATGATGGGTAGCGCACGAACTTGCCTAGTCGTCTTGCTTGCGGGCTTCAAACGCACTTGTGGCTTTGTTTATTGTTGTGTTTTGGTTTTGTTTCGAATCAAATAATGAATTGTCGTGAACGTCGTGACACGATTTGAATTGGCGAACCTACAAAGTTAAGGTGGCGAAATTCAACTACTTGACATTTGCCGATTGCCCTCTCGTGACTAGGCAGTTCCAAACCACGCGAAGCCAAACGGAGCTGAAAGTACGATGATTAGACAACTTTGTGTACTACTCATCGTTTCCACGCTCGCTGAAGCGCCGTGTGTTGCTGCTCCCATGGGCACTAGTTTTCTGTAGTGTATTTATAGGAAACTATATAACGTGGAATGGATCCAAAACCACCTGCTTATCAGGACTGTTTATGGCTTGTGGTGGCAGATGACGTTTTTGCTTCCGGATGATATTTTTGTTTGACCTATCGAAAAAAAAAAACGGACACGCAAGTAGTATAATCAGCAGATGGATGTCACACCATATCCATATCAAGCGCGACCACTTGGAAACTTGATGACAGCGTTTATATAGGCAAAGGGGTGATGATAACGGTACTTAAGAGAAGCAGTATTGGTTTCCGGTTCCTAAAACAACCTAGAAGAAGACAGCTGAACAAGAGTGCTCATCGCGAGCGTGCGTGTCTATCCTCGTACATTACGCCGTAGCGAATCAGCGATGTTTGCGAGTTCAAGTTGAAAAAATTGGGCGGCTGTACTTGCTTCTAATTCATTTATTTTTAAACGTTCCACCTATTGTGGGAATGGGGCACAACAGGCCATGCGCAGACTCACAACTGAAAGTTGAATATTTGAACAATGGCGTATACACGGTGCAGACTGGATGAATCAAGTTAATTGAATGGAAAATCATACAACAGCGTCATAAAGCAGCATCTGAGAATTCCAGCTATCAATCAGCAAGATAAACTGATGTTCACTTATACACCCACGTATAGTATTTGTCTCGAGTGCTTCAAACAGTTCTCGAGTGCACCACTGCCTGCGACGATACAAAATCTTGGTTTTGTTCTGAAGCGGTTTACAGGTGGTATTAGTATCTACTTTAAACCCCCTACAGTACTTACATATCTAAGAATAGCCATCTGTAGAGCAGTTTTAGCAGACACTGTTTTTGCGGGATATTTTACACATCTACCCGTTTGTTCCCCTCCCCCCGCCCCACCGCAGTGGTCTAGTGGATAAGGTACTAGGCTGCTGACCCGCAGGTCGCGGGATCAAATCCCGGCTGCGGCGGCTGCATTCTCGGTGGAGGCGGATATGTTGTAGGCCCGTGTGCTCAGATTTGGGTTCACGTTAAAGAGCCCCAGGTGGTCGAAATTTCCGGAGCCCTCCACCACGGCGTCTCTCATAATCAAATAGTGGTTTTGGTAAATTAAACTCCGCATATCAATCAATCAATACGTGTTTGTTCCGCGTTCACTAGCGCATTAGAAAAATGAAATTCATAAACCCCTGCACATGCTCAGGGAACAAACCTTTACCTGCGCTCGACATGGAAAGCAAAAAACACTAGACACTCTTTCATTACTCTAGCATTCCCTAACATTACCCCAACATTCATTACCATAGCACACAATCTCGAGATTTTTGTAGGTGCTGCAAAACGACGTTCACAGCATATCGCAGCGCTACGTTCTTCAAATATTTCATGAACCTGATTTAGGAATGACCATGTGCGTTCCCTTTAAATTTTCTTAACTAGTTTTTCACTAGTTCTTTGGATAACAAGTAACGGATAACCAGAAAACACCAGCCAACTCTAATGATCCTGTACACTTTTTGTGACTAGACGGGTACATGACCTCTGCAACGCAGCATCCTTGCAGGACACCTAACTCATTTCGAATGTCTTGATAAAAAAGCTTATATCAAATAAAAAAAAACAACTCTTATTTTGTGGTAGGGTCATTCTCACAGAGTAAATCAACAATTTATTCAATGTATTCTAGTTAATAACTTATACCCCTGTCACACGGGCACTTAAAAGTCTTTTAAGTAAGCGGTCTTTTTCCGAAAAGGAGTTCCTGACAGCAGACACACGGCACAGAGCGAACTCCTTTTCAGAAGCGGTCTTTTTCGTAAACGGCGTTCGTCGATCTCTTTTACGGCTCCGAATGAGTAGCCTCGAAACCAGTGGGCGCCAGCAATTTTCGAGTGGCGGGAAAAAAGAGCGAATGCTTATTTTCTGTCACCAAAACTCTTTGTAAAAACAAATTTCATATCCTGCAGAAGGTGTAATGAACTCTTTTAATGGTTATTTTCTTTTCTACTCTCGTAAGCAGCTACAACGCGTCGGCAATATCACGTGGTGACGCTCGGTCTTGAGCTGCTTTATCCTCTCCTTGGCGGCTTTTGCAGCGTCTGCCTCGCTTTCCAGAGCGAGAAGGCAGACCGTGAGGCTTGCGATCGTCGCTTTTTCTCCCGTACGGTCGCCCATAACGTGTCGAGAGCAGTCGAAAGCAGCGAAAAACAAATACGGTAAATAAAAGCACAGTGGTGCCAGACGGACTTGTGCATGTCGCTAGTTATGGGAATGCTTCCTTATCTAGTGCAAAAAACTTTCACTTTGGTGTTTCTTCATCTCTTATTCTTAAATTTATTTGAAGAAACGAGCAGTGCAACAAGTCTTTAATTTGTACATCGTGATATATCGTTTAATTTTCATTGCTTCTCTTTTAACTGCTAGCGCCACGCTTTCGCTAGCATCTTCGAACGAAAACACTAAAAGGAGATCGTTGCTGCCGTGTGTCTGCGCCGCAAACACCTCTTTGTTAAAAGTCTTTCAACTTCGTAAAAGACCGCTTACTTAAAAGACTTTTTGCGCGCCCGTGTGACACAGGTATTAAATATGCATCTCCTTGGCTGCGGCCATCGTACCTGCTTAAAGAGCGTGTGCATCTTCTTTAGCAGCCGTATCATGACTGCGCGGTCAGGCTCGGGCACGGGAAACATGCCCTCGACCACGATTCCTTGCAGCTGGTTCGAGAGCAGCCACTTAACCAGGTTCCGCGCGAACACCAGGGAGAGCTGGTCGCTGCTCATGTCGCTCGCGATCCAGTCCAGCAGGTGGCGCCGCCCGTGGGCGTCATTCTCCGCGTCAACGTACACCAGCACCTTGCGCGTTAGTTCGTTGCATTACTTATAGTGTCCAGAAAAACAAACCGAGAGTGGTTCGACTTACAAAGAAGCCTACGTCTTCTTCGTAATTCATATTGATGCTAAAAAAGCTGACATGGTCCCTTATAATTTGCTTAAGATGGCTCGAACGCGAAAGCTATGTTATCTCATTGCACCGAACGTGCCTCCAAGATCTGAGGCACGGCAAGCTTTTTGCATCTCACGGGGTTTCGCACTGCCTCTGTGAGTGTCCCACCTTCGGTCAAGACGGCGATTTTGTGTCATCACGCGAGGCCGCACTATCTGTCGCCACAGTGACGCAACGAGTGACGTCACTAAATTTTGTGAACTGTGATAATATTACGACGTCACCCGGTGATATCATCACTTGACGAGGATTTTTCGCATCATTTGTGTAGACGCCGGACTCGCCGACGCTGGACAACCCCAAACTGGTGGTACTGGTGGTCCCGTCCACAATACTTGCGCGAGATTTTTCGGGATTACGGCCTCGCAGTATCTCGCGAAGGTCTCGCAAGGTATCGCCGAAAACCCACGTGACCACAGAGATCACGGAGGCAGAAAGTGCGTGAGGCGCAGGAATCTTACCGTGCCTCCGCTCACGGTGGCAGTGCTGAACCACATTGTATGCAGAGCTCTTTCGGCGGTTGGGAGAAGCATGAATACAATCCACCGAGGACGAGAAGATCGATTTCAACTTCGTGCCATCTTGAGCGAATGTGAAAGAAACTTCATGCATTTTTGTACCTCCTGAGGAGCGTATAGACGACCTTTTGTAAGACCCATGGGTGGCATCTTCGGATGTTAAATTAATCTTTTCTGATTTTTGTACATCGTTACATAAAATTGATGACGTCGTGAAACGATGAAAGCACCAATGGAACCATTTTCGTACGTATGCGTCTACCGTACGCTTAAATGAAGATACAAAATGGCACACTTAACAGCCCAATGGGGCAGCACCAAAACCTATACGGCAACTAATATTGCATGGCAGGCTTGTTGGTTATCCATAGTACCTGATATACTATAGCGCATATAGGACGGGACAGAGCAGAAGACACAACACAAACGCAGCGCTAAATTTCAACAATCAAGTTGGCGCAACGTTCGCGTCATGGTTCTTCTGCTCCATCCCGTCCTGGATGCGCTCTACATCAGACACTATCCGAGAAGCAATCTGCAGACAAGCGCGCTCACCTGCATTGCCTTCCTCTTCTTGAGGTACTTCATGCTGCCGTACAGGGTCGGGTGCTGGGCCCGCTGGTAGGCGTCGTAGTTGAGCATGTCGTCGAACCAGTCGTCCAGGGCGTGCAGCGGGAACACCACGTGTGTGCACACGTCCACCGGCACGTCGTGCACCGTGTACCGGTAGTTGCCGGGCCTCGAGAAGGCGCTCAGGTTCAGGTGGCACAGCACGGCCGGGTTCCCGCTGGCCAGAAAGGCCGCGCGGCCACCGTGCGCGTAGGACATTTGGGCCACCTCACTGTCCATCTGGAGGTCCGAGGCCACCACGTCCTTGAGAAAGCTGACGCGCCGCAGGTAGTTGAACAGGGCACCTGCGTAGTCGGACGAGATCGGTGAAATGCTCCCATGGTCCCCTGTGCATTTGACTGTCTTCCTCCACAGCTTCAACGATGTGTACACAATGATTTACAATGTGTAGCGGACGCCTCGATTCCCCGCTGAATGATGAGTAATGGCATAGTGGCTAGTTTTTTTTTACTTCACAAAATTAAAAATGATTCATGGCGCAGTGAGCACCTTGCGACAGTATACTCGTATAGTAATTGTTCCAATAGACTTTACAACGGGTTTTACTAAGACCACTCAGCCAGCTGTTGAGCTTTCGATGCGACTGCACTGAGTGTGCAGCACAGGCCTGATGATTTTCTTTTAACCTGTCTGCACTGACCTCCCTTATCTCGCCGCTGAAAGATTTGTGCACCTTAAGAGGTCTGCTTTCGGTGCGTTCGTTTGCTTGAAAAGCTACAAAAAAAATTTGCAGGTGCTTTAAGGGCCTCTTAAAGGGCCCCTAAACCACACCGACTTCGAAGACGAGGCAGTATATTTCTTTCCCGCTTTCGCTGCCCTTTCAACAAGTGTGATTTCCTCTTCGCCACTTTTTTTTTTTTCAGTGAAACACGTGGAATGTCAGCACTGCGCTTCGAGCCAGTCAGTATTTCGCGCTTTTCGACAACGCGCCTTTGCCTCCGCTCGCGCAGTCACAAACGTAGAAAACAAAGTGAAGCCCCGCCGCGGTGGTCTAGTGGTTAAGGTACTCGGCTGCTGACCCGCAGGTCGCGGGTTCGAATCTCGGCTGCGGCGGCTGCATTTTCGATGAAGGCGGAAATGTTGCAGGCCTGTGTGCTCAGATTTGGGTGCACGTTAAAGAACCCCAGGTGGTCTAAATTTCCGGAGCCCTTCACTACGGCGTCTCTCATAATCATATGGTGGTTTTGGGACGTTAAACCCCACAAATCAAATCAGAAAACGAAGTGAAATCAGTTCATCGCGCACGACAGTGATGCGAGACGAGGCAGACCTGGCATGTTTCTGCATGGCAAAGCAGGGTGGGCAACTGCCCGCAACAAATCTCTCTCGTATATTGACCAATCGAGAGCTTATTTCGTCCCGACTTCACGCGAACGTACAGCCGGTGTCACGAATTATGCCGCAAAGAGGGGAAATGCCGGCATAGAATGAACGCGCTCGTTCTTCGTATCTTCAGAGCTGGTGTGTATAGCGTTCCTTTAGAGACGCTTTCCGGAAGAGAAGCGCTTCGAGCGGCGACTGGTTACTGACCGGGCAACAGCATGAGGAAGACAATGATGAGCACGAGGCAGGAGCCGCATATGTAGAGCAGCGAGGTCCTGAGCACATGGTCGTCGACCCGAACCCGGAGGTTGCGCCGACGACGCAGAAGGTGCTCCTCGGACGACGCCGTGGTGGCGGCGGCGGCGACCAGCTCTCCTTCGGCTACCTCCTCTTCGTCGACCTCGGCAGCCTCTCGCTCGCTCCTTCACTAGTCTCTGGAATCATGCCGCCAGCCCACTACCGGTGGATGGACAACAAGGAGAACATGAAAATTTTTAACTACGAGAAAGAAGGAGAAAGCAGTGTGGAGAGCGTGTTTTCAGTTTTTCTTTTTAAGTCTCCTAAAATTTCTCAAAGCACCTTCCAAACTTTCAACTACTTATTTTTGGCCAATCTACGTACCATTTTTTAAGGAAAAACAAACAAAGACGGCTATTGAGCTCAAAGCCTGAGATGGCTTATGAAACGCAAAAGTTGATCGCCGGTGACAGCACGATGGGTGCAAAAATAAAAAAAAAAGCTGCAGATACACGAAGTGAATGCTGATGAGGGAGTGAAGCTCTGTTGACGAAATGGTGAACAATATAAATGAAGAACTTTTATGAAAATATTTTTTGAACCATATGCGCGCTATGTACACTTTGTATACTGTATTGCGCACGCATGTTTCGCATCTGCGAATCGACTGAGGATGATGGCGAGCCTCGACGATAACGGTAGGACATCGTGAGAGCCTAAAAAGCTTCGCCCTCAAAGCCATGATCACGTGATGTTGTCTTCTTATACGTCACAATGTCGTAACAAGTTGCAAGATTTTGTGATGTCATTATATTGTCACATCGTGATGCCACCTGGTCACGTCACCTGGACACGACGTCGTTGTTTGGTCAACGGAGGGCTGGTTTCGGAGGCATTCCAAAGCCACGTGAGGTGCAGAACGCTTGGATCCTCCCCCCATCAAGATATATACGGGCACTCCCCGAAAAAATTAGGAGACTTTAAAGCATCATCTTTAGAAGTTGAACGTGGCAGCGATATTATGTTCCTAATGCGTAGCTCGTACATTGCATGAAACTTTTTTGAACTTGCTATGCACCCGCCACGTGGCCTTAAGGTGACAGGCGCAGTAACGTGTGTGCCTTTTGTAGTGGGTTACTGGCTTTAAACCACAAAGTCATTTATATGATCACATCTTCTGACGCCCGATGGTGAGGCGCGCTTGTACCATGCACTATTACGGCAATATTTTATATGGAATTGTGAAGCATGTATTGTATACACCAGACCCGTGTGTTTGCAAAACATGAAAGTTACGTTCACTGTATTTCCAAACGGAGGAAGTCAATTCAATTGTATTCACAAATAGACAAGATATCATTTGAAAGGCCTTCAATTTCATATCCTCAATTCTAAGCCAATCCCCCTGAGTGGGCAAGGGCCATAGTGTAGGCATCCTCCTCCTCCTCCTCCTCCTCATGATCATGATCATCATCATCATTATCATCATCTTCATAATCACCACCACCACCATCATCATCATCATCATAATCATCATCATCATCGTCGTCGTCGTCGTCGTCGTCGTAATCATCATCATCTTCATCACCTTCACAAATAGACTCGTAGCCGTGTGTTGCTCAAATACACCGTTAGAGATTGTGTTGCATGAGATTTACTTGGTAACATTCATTGTAGATTTGTCGACTTGACCATATGTATGTTGTACGCTATGTATTTACATAAGCCACATTTGTATTAAATACCATGTAAGAAAAAGAAAAAAAAGACTCATGGCCATATGGTGTAACATCCGCTTGCCATGTAAACGACCCGGGTTCGAACCCCACTTTGTCCTAGGATTTTTTATTATCAACTTTACTTGCATCGTTCTCAATTTTTCGGTCGCACATTAGGTAGGGTTTTTCGCTGACAACCAACCAAGCCAACTCCGGAATTTCTGCGAAACGAGCTCTTGAACGCCATCGCGTTAAAGAATGATTTCGAATCATCCTACTCTCCTCCCTTCCTTAATACAGGCGCCCATATAAATACATGTTACATAACAAAGCATTTTTGGTTTAATTGCAATAAATTATCAATTATTTATGTTTTTATTGTTTGACAATTACGACCACTTGCCGTCATGATACATTACGTCTTGGTATCTGTTCATTCACGCTTTATTAATTTGATCATTCTTTTCTATGTGTTTGCCTTTAGTGTTATTAATGTACTGATGTCTTCAGAGACCTTTTAAGAATTTTGTTGCGTACTTAAAAGTGTAAAATACATGTATCTCGAACCTCATCAACTCGCCGAACACGCCCTCGCGTGAGCTCCTACACTGTCCTTCAAGAATTAGGATTGTGTAGAATACTCTGTGTAAAGTACGCTGTGTAAAATACATGCACACGGGGGGCCAAAGTTCCCAGGCCACAATCCCATGTATTCCTATGGGAGCGTTGCCTCGGGACTTTTGAGCCCTCCCTGCACCTCAAGGAAGGACTGAAATACACTTCAAACTTCATACATACGACCCACTTGCCCCACGCAAGCTCCAACACTGTTTCTCGAAATGCGCCTTCTTCAATGCATTCTATATAGGAAGCTCTGTTCCTAAACTTGGGTAACCGTGGTAATCAACCTGTTTCGAGCGTGTCTCGATTGGTTGCCGGTAATTACATCCGCTGTGCCTGTAGCGGTAATCAGGGGCACCTCGATCCGGTAGCACCTGTATGCATCAAATGATGGTATAGCCAGGCCATACCGATAGACGTTCGTCGCATCTCGGAACCCAATTCACCCGAGCAACAGACCACGCAAAATGCCGACTCCCGCGAAGCTTCGTCGTTCTGTCATTACTGTTGATGGAAAACGCGGCAAGCTGGCGTGGCACGTACTTACAACCGGCGATTGGGGAATTAAGCTGGACTCGAGCAAGGCGGATGCAACGTTTCCTTTAACTGCCGGTTATTGCGACGTGGCGCTGCGAAAAGAACGAATTCGCGCAAACAGAAATATGCGTGCGCCGGACGATTTCCACTTCAGCTGTGCCCGTTCCTTGCTAACCACGTAAACGGACTCGAGCGAGATGCCGAGATGCAAACAAAACGAGGAGAAGTGGGAGATTGCGCGAGTTCCTTCATTAGGAGTGCAGATTACAGCCCACACGGGGCAAGCTTTGTTTTTTGCGTGTGTGTGTCCTCTCTTTTTCTTTATTTTCACTTCCCGGCACAGGCCGTCTTCCCGTAAAGAAACATAACTGTCTCGCTACGCAAGCAAAACTCAACCTCGTCGCTGCGAGAAGAGAGAGTTGAAAGAGAGAGGAGGTGTTCTTCTAGGGATGAAAGAGAGAGAGATCCAGAAAAGGAGAGAGGACGACCATGAGAGGAGGGGGGAGGAGAGTACAACTTCCTAGTGTGCCGCTCCAGAAGCTCCATGTTGAGGTCGCCGCGCTTGCGGCGTAATTATGACGCGCACCGGCCTTAATACGCTTGGCCCGAGCGTCACCTCGGCTGCGCCACGTCCCTCTGAATACTCTCCTGTCGCACCACTCGTTCGCCTTACCTCCGCGTACCGTGGCGGCGCTTGCGCGCGGAGCCAGGCAGCTTGTTCACTAGTCCGCGATACCGCAACCGCCGCTCTCAGACCATGCGTAATAACTCCTGAGCACCGCTCGCAGTAGCAGCAGTGGCGACGTTTCTCTCGCTCTCCCTCCTCAAGCATGCTGCTCAAAGCTTCTAGCGTGGTGAGGGAAGGGTTTGGGCCAAGGGTTTCCGTTTGTAATCACGACGTGGTGGAGCAACGACGATGCAACGGCACGCATATGCTTGTTTCGCAGGAAAGCACGAGTTTGTGGTTTCTGTTGCTGTTGACGCAGTGAAGAGGCAGTTGTTTATTCTTCCTCTCCTTCATTATTATATTTTTTTTGCCAGCCACAGCATATTTTTGCTTCTCTGCTTAACAGCTCAAGCAGAATTCCTTCTCTTTTACTTACTCGATTTCATCGCAATTAGTCGGTCCGTGGTGGGACATCCGGGTTCGCTAATACCCTTCTTATAATTCCGTGCGCAAAGACTTTCGGCATATGTATATGTGTGGAGGGGTTGTGGGAGGTGGTGGGTGAGGGAAGAAGAGTGATGAGCGTTCTGAAGGTCGATATTCTCGCATTTTAGTGACATCGCCCGATTGAGCATCGGTGATAGAAGCCGCCGAGAGGGAAGTGGAACGTTTGGGAGAGGTTCAGATTTATATGGGAGTCTATAAAAAGCGTGGTCATGGCAAGAGGGCAAAAAGAGAATAGAGAAGGCTTGTGATTTCTCGTTCAGTCAACCATGGCGAGCAAGTGGAAAGGTATCCGCATCTCTTATGCATGCCGGGCGGTCGTTATGGCACGTACACTGCGGAGATGAGGATCATCATTGGACGGCCAGCAAAAATGACGTATAACCTCTCAGAGGTGATCACTCCTTCTTCCCGTAGCGGGCGGTGTTCTGAAACTCGTTAGTGAATATGATCGGTACGCCATGACCTCGCGATTGCACGGTGTTATGCATCCTCGTTGTGGATGTTGAAAACGAATCAAGGTGTTTATGTTTGTTTGTTGCTTGGTAGCATCTCCGCTACCAGCGAGGCTCTAATGCCGGAAGCTTTTGAGGTGAAGTCGTAATTGGGAATGCCATGTCCGGGAGGTGCGAGAAAGCAAAAAGTGACGGCAAGGAAAGATGTTATCGAGATTTCGGTGACACGTACGACACTGAATTAACTAAACGCGAAAAAGTTTATGACGTCCTCAAGATTCGGAGCTCGTCTCTTATTTAGTCCATGTCATCACTTAAGTAAATGTTTTTTTTTTCTTCAGTTGCACCGAAAGCTTCATCTGTAAGCTCCCTCAAAGTAATGTCTCTCACATGCGTTTTCCTTCCCGATTTGTGTGCTTTTTTTTTCCTCGTGGTGTCCGTAATTAATGAGTTCGCTAACGTGAGTGGCTTTCAGCCTTGG